GCCTTCCCGCCGCCTGCGGCGAGCTTGGCCCTGGCCTTTCCAAGCGTATCCTCCTCCAGGTCGACGTCGATCTCCTGACCTGCCTTGATGTCCTGCGCCGTCGTGTCCTGTGCGCCCTTGTCTGGTGAGCCCGCGTCTTCCATCTCCCCATCCTCGGCCTGGCCTTCCTTCTCCGCCTGCGTTTCCACCTTCCTCTTCTTGTACTCCTGCCTGATCGTCTCCCTGTTATTTGCGGCGTTCTCCTTGGCCTGGCGGATGTGTTCCTGCAGCTGGCTCGCGTGCGACTTCGCGCCGTTTTGGAGCTCCTGCAGCATCTGCTTCTTCGCCTCTGCGACCGCCTGCCTTGCCGTCTCGTCCACCTCTTCGTCATCCAACTTTAGCTCTTCGTCTAAGTTGATGATCCCCCCCATGGCAATTTCCTCGGGCGTCTGCGCGATCAGCTGCTGCATGAAGCTGGGCGGACCTCGACCTTCCGAGTGGATCGCCTCCAAGATGGACTCCTTCTTTGCTACTTCCTCCGCCTTGTCGTTCATCTTGTCCTCGAGCTCCTTCAACCAGGCCCGCTGCTTCTTGACCTCGGCCGCCACCGATGTAAAGTGCTTGTTAGCGACCCTCAGCGCCTCGGCAGCCTCCGCAAACCTTTCAGGTCTGGTCTTGATCTTCGGCGGGTCCGCTTGCTTCTCCAGCATCTTAGCACACTCAGTGAGCTGCTTGCCCAACTGCTCGCTGTTCTCTATCTGCATGCTGCTCATCCGCTCTGCGATGAGCGTCAGCGCCTTCGAGATGTCCTTCGCCTCTGCTTTCTGGCCTCCTCTTTGGCGCCCTCTTGCGGGTGCACTCGAGCTGGGCCCTGACGAGTTGGAGTAGCCCGCGTAGCCGTCGTACTGCTTGGCACTCCAAACCTTCTTGAACGTGGCCTTGTAGTGTCGGCATTGTAGTCCAGGCTGCCAGATCTCGTCTGTGATCCAGCCCTTGCAACCCCACGTGGCGCAGCAGGTGAAGGCCTGTCCGCTAGACCCCGAGCTCGAGGAGTTCCAGCTCCAGGACTTCGGCGCCATGCCCCCGTGGTGCGTCTCCGGCAGCTCCCGCGCCTGCGCCAGCGTCAGGAGCCTTCTCGCAGTGGAGCGCTGCCTCCTCTGCCTGCGGTGCCACGCTGGCGAGCGGGACCTCCCCCGCTCAGCCGTGGCTGCATCGCGCGCGCCCGCCGCCGCCGGGCCGCGGGCTGCGCGATGGGCGCCTGGGCTTGAGCCAGCGCCTACCCGAGGCAGGTGGAGGGCGGCCAAAGGGAGGATTGAAAAAGATAACGAAACTCACAGAGGCGGGGGCCGCCACGCGTTGAATCCAGAGAGGTGGGCCTACGGCGTCGGCCCTGTCGGGCTCCAGCATCGTGGGGGTCCCGAGTGCCCATCTTCATCGTCTGCGACTGGGGGCTGTGAGTAAGTTGGGGGAGGCGCGCAATTGTACCACGGTGGGGTTGAGGCTCCAAAACTTCTCCGAGTGCACCCGGACCGACCCTTTGCTTTTGAACATCGGGATGGCTGGTGAGCGTGTTTTTTCCCGGAAAGGACTCGGGCCCAGGGTTCTCTTTTAGTGAGTTAATACCCCGGTCTGACGGGAAGAGGGCCGGCGGATAACGGGAAGCGTCTTCGAGGAACGAGAAGCGAGCTGGACGTTGTGGCTGAATCCTCCTCATATCAGTAAGAGATCTCTGAGCTATAGGGTGTGGTGGGCTGCGCGGTATACAGGCTTAGCGGATTCCTCGGGATGGCGATTTTACGTGAGACATCCTCACAAAAATTATATCTTCGCGACATCGTGTTTAACAAAAACAAGCGTTTCGCTCGAGACATCCTCGAAAACTTGATGACAGCGAAATTTCGCCGTCTGTGAAAATTTGCGTTTCGCTTGGGACATCCTCAAAAAATGAAATGACGACTGAAGTCTTTAACTAACTCTTATGTTAAAAATCGCGATTTCGCTAGGGACATCCTCAGAAAACGAGCGGCAGCACGGCGGACCAGAACGAAGAGCACGGCAGAACATTTGCATTTCGCTAGGGACATCCTCAACAAAATGAAATGTCCTCAACGTCGTCTTGGTATCGTCCTAGAAGTACCTCAAGATGACGAGATGAGAGGCCAAAAAGCACGTCATTATGGCTGTCAGAACGATTGGGGGACTTCCGAAAATAACGATTTCGCTAGGGACATCCTCCAAATGTGAAAACATACACCAGCATCGACTTGAAAACTGTTGTTCTCACATAGTTTGACTTTGCTTCTGACAAGGCTTCCAGACGGCCCAAGGCAACCTTCAAAAAATGTGATTTCGGAAGGGACATCCTCCAAAAAATGATGCGTGCGACATCGCATCGTAATGATTTTAGGAGGGCATCAGGAAGCAAAAGAAGCCCACAACATGGCTCCAAGAGCGCCCTGAAGGTTGCTGAAAATAGTGATTTCGCTAGGGACATCTTCAAACAAATAACAAATCGAGCAACATCGTTTTGAAAACTGCTGTATTAACATCGTCTTGGGATCGCTCCTGAAAAGGCTTCTAGATGGCTTAAGCCAGTCATCTAAAAATGACGATGTCGCTAGGGACATCCTGAAAAAAATGAATGTGTGCAACATCGGACTGCAACGGTTTTGTAAGGCATCAAGAAGGCCCCCAAAGGCCCCAAACAAGCCCAAATTTGACCCCCAGGAGCGCCCTCGAGACGATCCAAAATGGCGATTTCGCCTGAGACATCCTTACAACAATGAAATGTTCACAACATCGATTTCATCAAAAATGAGCGTTTCGCCCGATACATCTCTCTAACATGGGAAGGCGCGAATTCGACAGATGTTCAAAAACTAGCGTCTCGCCTGAGACATCCTAACAAAAATGATATCTTGGAGTGGCGCTTTTACTACCTCTCGTGTTACAAATCGCGCTCTCGCTGCATGCATCCTCAAAAAAATCGGGCGGAAACAAAAAAAAAAGAAAAGCATGGCCGGGGCGAAAAAAAAAAAAAAAAAAAAAAAAAAAAAAAAAAGAAAAGCAACCAAAGAAAAAAAAACAAAAGGTGTCAAAAAGTAAATGAAAAAAAAAAAAGAGAAAAAAAAAAAAAGAGTACGAAATAAAAAAGAAACAAACAAAAAACCCCCCGACGTAATCACCCCCCCCGCTCCCCCACCCCCACCCCCCCACCCCCCCGCCCCCCCCCCCCCCACCCCCCCACCTGCCCCCCCTCACCCCCCCACCCCCATATCACCACCCCCCCACACCCCGCCCCCGACCCCCCGCCTCTACCCCTCGACCCCCCCCCCGCCCCGCCCACCACCCCCACACCCCACACGTCCGAGAATGAGCAGTTCTGCCGTGCTCCTTCGCTCTTGACGTCTATTCTGCCGTGCTCTTTCGTTCCTGGGGTCTATTCTGAAATGCTCCTTGCTTTTTTGTTTGTCCCGTGCTCCTTCGCTCTTCGGGCCTATTCTGCCATGCTCCTGGCCATTTTCTGTCACAATCCTTTGTTCTTGGGGCTTATGATGCCGTGCTCCTGGTCGTTTTCTGCCGTGCTCCTTATCTCTTGGGGCATATTCTGCCGTGCTCCTTCGCTTTCGGGGTTTATTATGCCGTGCTCCTTGTTTTTTCTTGCATGCTCCTTCCTTGGGGCGTATTCTGCCGTATTATTGCATCTATCTTGCCGTGCTCCTTAGCTCTTGCGGTCTATTCTGCCATGCTCCTGGTCACTGGTCGCGTTTTGCAATGTTCCTTCTTTCCTGGCGCCTATTCTGCCGTGCTCCTCAGCTCTTGGGGTCTATTCTGTCGTGCTCCTGTTCTTTTTTCTATCATGCTCCTTCGCTCCTGGGGCCTAATTTGCCGTGCTCCTTCGGTCTTGGGGTCTATTCTGCCGTGCGCTTTGTCTTGTTTGGCCGTGGTCCTTTGCGATTGAGGTTCGTATTCCTAGTTATTTTTTTGCCGTGCTCTGAAGCTCTTGGAATTGACTTTGCCGAACATAAAAGGGCACTGCAGAACACGCAAGAACACGGCAAAACAGACAGAACACACGGGAACACGGCAAAATACACAGGAGCACGGCAGCACACGCAGGAGCATGGCAGAACAAGTAGGAGCATGGCAGAACACACAAGAGCGCGGCAGAATGCACAAGAGCACGGCAGAACACACAGGAACACGGCAGACCACGCAGGAGCACGGCAGAACACACAGGATCATTGCATATTTCGTTTCACATGCTTGGTGGACGAAGCGACTCTTCTCAAGGAATGAGTTGGAATAAAGCCCTGAAGATCGTCCTAGATGGTCTATTATGCCGTGCTCCTGGTTTCTTCTATCGTGCTCCTTCGCTCCTGGGGCCTATTCTGCCGTGCTCCTTTGCTCTTGGGGCTATTCTGCCGTGCTCGTTGTCTTCTTCTGCCATGGTCCTTTGCTTTTGGGTTCCGTATTCCTGGTCCTTCTCTGCCGTGCTCTTTAGCCCGTGGGGTTGATTCTGCCGAACATAGAGGGGCACGGCAGAACACGCAGGAGCACGGCAAAACAGACAGAGCACACAGGAACACGGCAGAACACACATGAGCACGACAGCACACGCAGGAGCATGGCAAAACAAGTAGGTACATGATAGAACACACGGGAGCACGGCAGAACACACAGGAGCACGGCAGAACACGCAGGGGCATCCGTAGCCATTTTGGCTCAAGCCATTTTGGCTCAAGGCCATGGAGAACCCGACGACCGCGAGTCGTTCGCGGCGCTCCGAGCGCGAGGGTCTCCGCGCTTTGGGCCAGTGCATTTCGTGTTTGTGCTCCCTGTTTTCTCGGCGCGGAGGCGCAACCCCATCGGCCAGTGCAGCGGTGGCCATGGCGAGGCCCCCGCGCGGCAGCGGCTGCGGCAGGCGCTGCAAGGCCTACTGGATGTGCAGCTGTGGCGGGTGGAACTGGAGTTGACGCACCTCGTGCCTGTGCTGCGGGCATGCGGCCCCGCCGTGGGCGATGGGGACGCTCCCGGCCAAGGCGAGGCCCAAGGCGGACAAGGACGGCTGGGTGGATCAGCCACGTGGGCGCCGTGCCCAATGGCAGGCCCGCAGCGCGGCATCGCGGGCGGCCTCCACCAAGTCGCAGACCTCGGCGTCGGCGGCGAGTGGGACGCCCAGCGGCGGAGGCGCCACGGCGATCGAGAGGCTCCAGGCGGCAGTCGAGCAGCTCGAGGCGCTGCAGGCCGAGCCCCCCGACAGAGTCGACGGCTGCTTCACCGACGCCGTGGTCAGGCAGCTGGAGGCGAAGCGGGCCGAGTTGGTCAAGACCAAAAAGCAGCAGCGGAGCAGAAGGCCTCTTCCCTGCCGCGGGCGACTCGGCTCCACAGGGAGGCGAACGCCATCAGCAAGGGCGAGAAGCGGCTCCGGGCAGCCCGCCAAGAGCTTGTGCAGAAGCAGGAGGCGCGCGACATCGTCGAGGCCCAGCTCCAGAAGGCCCAGGAGGAGCTCGCAAAGCTCGACGCGCAGGTGGAGGAGGCGAGCCGTGCGCTCCAGGTGCTCGAGGAGGCAGCCCGCGAGGAGGCTGAGGCGCAGCGCCGCCAGCGTGCGGCTGAGTGGACAGGAGCCAGCCAGGTGCCAGGGCTCCTCATGCAGCTGGAGAAGTTGCCAGAGGCGTGGAGCTCCAGCAACTTCGAGGTGGCATGGGCAGCCATTCGCGCACAGATGGAGGCAGTGCGGGCGCAGCTCGAGGGAGCCCCAGCGGCCCCCACGCGTGCGCCGTGGGCCGAGTCCTGCCCCATGGAGGAGATCAGCAGCGACGATGGCGAGCTCGCGGACGGCGGCGACCCCTGGCAGCCCCAGCCAGCCGCCGAGCGAGGCCAAGCCGAGCGGCACGGCGAGGCGCTGGGCGAGTGGCCGACGGTGGCCCAGGCATGCAAGCGGGAGCTGGCGGCTGAAGCAGCGGACTTGGCTCCTCTGGCTTCTCTCCCTTCTGGCAATGTCGTCGGGAGCCGAGTCGGAGAGGTGCATGCAGGACCAGAGAGTGCCTAGCGAGGCCAGTGCGGCGGGCCTGCGCCTGCACGAGAGCGGCGCCGAGGGCGTCGGGAGCGACCTGGTAGGCCGCCGCGGCATGGGCGTCCTCGGCAAGCCCAGGGGCCAGGAGAGCGCTGCAAGGCCCAGGTGGGACCTCATCCTTCTGGGCGCCGAGGAGAACGTAGTTGGGGCCATCGAGTTCGGCCCTAGCGAGTGGGGCGACCGCGACCGCAGTGACCAAGCTGGCGTACATGGTGACCCCGAGGCTACTGCAGTGCTGCAGCGGCGTCTCGCGAGCTCCCTGAAGCGAGATGGCGGCAAGAGTTCGGCCTCCTGCAGGATTTGGGCCAAGCATGCCGTGCAGAAGGGCGACAGGCTCGCCCGCAGGGTCGCCAAGGCTGTGCCGCCCCTGCCAGTGGTGAATCCAGAGGCTAGGTGGCCCTTGGCAGGCGCGATGGCATTTGAGCAGCTGGAGGCCAACTGGCAGGCCATGTGGCAGCAGGAGGGCCTCAGGGCTGGAGCTGGAGTCGTCAGCTGGGACGTCCGAGGCTCAACGCTGCCGCCCCTCAACCTGGAGATGCTGCAGGCGGTCCGCAAGCGTCACTCGCTGGCGGCGAGCCTGGACGCTGACCAGCTCCACCCACGGCAGCTGCTGCCGCCCCCCTCGGCCCTGCGCCTGCGCGGCCTGGCCCTCCCGGAGGCCCACGAGGAGCAGCCCATGGCCCTCGAGGCCGCAGCAGGCCTGCACCGCGCCTCGCCCGTCTACGATGGGGAGCGGACCCAGTGGGGCGGCGACTGGCGCCTCATGCCAGAGCGGTGCATGGCCATGGACCTCAGCGACGCGCTCGGGCCCGTGTTCCTCGAGCCGCAGGCGCAGCCCGCGGCGGCATCGGAGGCCCAGCAGGCTGGAGAAGCCCTCGGCGGCGGAGCTCCAGCCGCGCGGCCCCACCTGGAGGACAGCCGCTCGACGGGGAGCATAAAAAAAAAAAAAAGAAAACCCAGAACGAAAATAAACACAAAAAAAAAATAAAAAAAAGGAAATCAAAACAAAGCAAAAAACAAAACAAAAACAAAAAAAAAAAAAAAAAGAAACACAAAGCAAAAAAAAAAACAACAAAAGACAAAAAAAAAAAAAACACAAATAAAAAAAAACAGCATCCACAACAAAAAAAAAATAAAACAAAACACGCCCAAACACAAAACCAAGGCAACACAACCCCCCAAAACCACAACCCCCAGACCACACCCACATAAAAACAAAAAGAAACACACCGCCACCGCCAACCACCATCCCCCCCGCACCCCCCCTCGCCCACACCGGGCGCGGGCCGCCCTCTCGGCCACCGCTGTCGCCTTCAGCATCCTGGGGCACGTGCTCAGCTACGCCTGCGCGGGCGAGGGCGAGGACGCCCAGGAGATCGTGGCGTGCACCAAGCGTGGCGCCTACAAGGTGGCTGGGCGGCCGCGCGGGAGGCAAGTCTCGCCTCAAGGTGCAGTGCCCAGGGCCCAGCTACCTGACCAACAAGTCGGGCAGGAACCAGCGCAGCCTGTGGGAGCGAGGGCTACACCCTGGTGGCAGACCGCGTGCAGACCAGCGGAGAGTGAGAGTAGAGGGCATCCCCGCCTTGCGCTCCCATGGGCCAGTGCCAGGACATGCCCAGGAGCGCTACCTGGAGTGGATAGGCATCGAGGCGGAGCCCACGGGCGGGGCCTCAGCCGCAGCCAGCAGTTCGGGCAGCGGCCCAGCGGCCGCGGCAGAGCAGGAGGCGCAGGAGGTGCAGGCGGCGGCGGCGGCCAGCCTGCCCCAGCAGCGGCCAGGGCCGACTGCGGACGCCCCCAGAGCAGGCGTGGCTGCCGAGGAGGAGCTCGCGGCGGCGGGAGCCCCACCCTTCGGCGGCCTGGTGGGCCGCAGGGTCCGCCGCCGCCTGGCGCGCCGCGGCTCGGAGTACCTGGAGTTCTACCTGGAGGAGTTCGGCAGTGAGCCGGAGCCTACAGGCGGAGCCTCAGCCGCGGCCAGCAGCTCGGGCGGCAGCCCAGCGGCCCCCGCGGCAGTGCTGGCAGCGGAGGCGGAGGAGGTTGCCGCCGTGAGCAGCGCGGCGGGCGGAAGGCATGTGAGTCGCAGGGTCAGCCGCCTGCCAGCGCACCGCGGTTCGTCTTCCGTGAGTGAGCGAGTGAGGAGAAGCATCGTTCTCGTGTGTTGCCCCTGGTGTGAGTAGGCACGCGAGGCGCTCTGCAGTGTGGGGGCTACGTGCCGTCGCAGTCGAGTTCCCTTGGGCGGTGGCCCAAGGCGGCCCCGCTGGTTTGCCGAGAGGCGGCCCAAGGTGGCCCTCTTGGGCGGGCGGCCCCGCTGGGCCCCCGCGTGTGTCTGGTCTTTTGGCCCACCACTTTGCCTTGAAGGCCCCGTCTCTAACTCTAACTCTAACACGCAGGAGCATGGCAGAAGAAGCAGGGACATGGCACAACACACAAGAGCACGGCAGAATGCACAGCAGCACGGCAGAACACGCAGGAACACGGCAGACCATGCAGAAGCACGGCAGAACACACAGGAGCACGGCAAATTTCATGTTACATGCCTGGTGGACAAAGCGACGCTTCCCGTTCTTGTCCGGTCAGGTTTCTTTTGCGATAAATAACGAGTGGGAAGAGGGCCGGCGAATTAAAATTTGAGGATGTCCCTAGCGAAACGCTTGTTTGCTTTCAGACTTTGTTGAGGATGTCTCAAGCGAAACGCTTGTTTTGTGTTATAGATTGTCCTCTCCTGGGGGCCAGAATTTAGAGGATCTCTCAAGTGAAATGCTTGGTTCCACGTGCCCAGGTCGTGAGGATGTCTCGAGCGAGACGCTTGGTTTCACGCGTCCTCGTCGCCCGGGCGGATGTCTAGAATGAGGAGGTGTTGAGGAAGTCTCGATCGAAATGCTTGTTTGCACGTGTCCTGGTTGCCCAGGCGGATGTGTAGCATGAGGATGTGTTCAGAATGTCTCGGGAGATACGCTTGTTTACACCTGTCCAGGTCGACCAGGCACAGCACAGCCCTCGGCACGGTATATCAATATCGATACCCTTAGCACTGCAGCCTGGCATGGTGCCTGGCACGTTCCGCGGAACGTCCCGTGGCAGTCCCCCTGACACGTCGCGCGGTGCCGTCCATTGGCACGTTCCGTCGCGCGTCCCGATGGCACGTCCCGCGGTGCGTGCCCATGGCACGTCCCCTGGCACGTCGCCTCGCGCGTCCCTTGGGACGTTCCGCGGCGCGTCCTCCTGGCATGTCCCCCTGTCGATTAGGCAGCTACCATCTGCTCAGGCAGCTCGAGCTTAAGATCCAGATCAGTTCGGTCAGGATTCGGATGCCAGGGAGGACTCGATCCACAACGCTATATACAGCACAATCGCGGCATGGCACATCGCAGTTCAGCACGGCCCGGCACAGCACAGCCGTCGGCACGGTACATCAAGATCGATACACTAAACATGGCACCTTGGCACGTTCCTTGGCGCATTCCGTGGCGAGTCCACCTGGCACGTCGCGCGGCGCGTCCCCTGGCACGTCCCGCGGCACGTTCATTGGCACGTTCCGTAGCGCGTCCCCTTGGCACGTCCCGCGGTGCGTGCCCATGGCACGTCCCTTGGCACGTCGGTTGGCGCGTCCCTTGGGGCGTTCCGCGGCGCGTCCTCCTGGTATGTCTCCTCTGTCGATTACTTCTGGGGCAGCTACCATCTGCCCAGGCAGCTCGAGATTAAGTTCCAGATCAGTTCGGTCAGGACTCGGATGCCAGGGAGGACTCGATCCACAACGCTATATAGAGCACAATCGCGGCATGGCACATCGCAGTTCAGCACGGCCCAGCACAGCACAGCCCTCGGCACAATACATCAAGATCGATACATTCAGCATTGCATTTGTCCGTCGCCCAATCAGGTGTCGTTGAAGCGCTGCCATGCCTTGCATGTCTTTATCATCCCTCCATCGTCCAAAAAACCTGGCCAGAGCTCAAGCACCCTCAACCCTGAGACGGTCCCCGACGCGGTGACATACACTCTATCTTCCGGGCCCTGAAGGCGTCTACATTCAGAGAGCAGCGAGGGACGGCAGCACGAGTGCGGACCCCGAGCGCGATCCCCTCAAGGTCGCAGGATCCTGCAATATCCTCAACCGCTGCAGGCGGTCCAACACATCAGATTAAAGTTAAAAAGGGCGGGTTTGGGCGGGAGAGCTTGAGCAAGAGCGGTTATGGAACAGACGGCCAGGCAGAAGAAGGGACGCGGGGGAGATAAAGACAGTTTACAAACATACATTATCATCCCTCCATCGTCCAAAAAACCTGGCCAGAGCTCAAGCACCCTCAACCCTGAGACGGTCCCCGACGCGGTGACATACATTCTACTTTCCAAGCCCTGAAGGCGTCTACATTCAGAGAGCAGCGATGGGGCGGCAGCACGAGTGCGGACCCCGAGGCGCGATCCCCTCAAGGTCGCAGGATCCTGCAATATCCGACTCTCCTACTCTGGTTAACTCGCTAGTCCCCTTCTTCTTGGGGTGGGTGGGAGGGTTCCGGAAAACAAGTTATCGCTTAGGACTTCTACGAACAGGTTTAAAGTCGCGCACTGCTGCGCTGGTCTCCTGGGGGCCTTTCCCGAGAGACAGGTGGACGCAGTCGCCACGATGGCTCCCTGGGTCCACGCGCGCCAGATATTCCAGGATTCCGGCAGAGACGACGAGGTGGGAACAGGCAGGCGACCCAAGGAGCTCCGAAAAAAACTCGATGTGGCGCACTCCAAAAAACTTCAGTCCTAACTCACTTTGCTGGGGACTCAGACTGGCGCGAGCCTCTACTATCTTGTGCGTTTGTGTGTAGCGCTGCACGGACGAGAGTGATGCCCAGCGTCCACGGCGCCTGCGACTCTCGAAGGTCCCGCCGTGCGCCGCGAACTCCCCGGCCGCCGCGTGCCTCATGTTGCGCGGCGTGCCGAGGTGGCTCAGACCGAGCCTCATCATGCTGATCGTCCACTGCCGTCGATACTCTGATACACTCAAGGGAAAGACCACATCGCCTGCATCGCAACCCTCGGTGAGTCCTCGGAGCAGTGCGGTGGTCGTGGGCGATCCCACGTTCAGGCCCTGGTTCGAGCCCGTCTTCACCTCCTCTCCTCGTCGGCGATCTCCGAACGCAGCTGCCAGATCTTCGCCATCAAAGGCTAGGTTCTCCACTATCAGCGACGCCCAGTCCTGCTCACGACAGAAGGTGTCGAACGTGAAGAAGGCGACGCACGCTGACATCACCTTCCCTCTCTCCAGCGACTCAGAGACCAGGAGACCCACCACCTCGCGACAGAAACTCCCACCCTCTTGTGACATCTTGAACGTCTGCCAGGCTGACAGAGCTCGCGATGAGAGGGGCAAGTCGCGCCTGTGCTCCGGAAAGATATGAACGAAGCCCGACGACAAATGGCCGCCATGAATGTGCGACAGCCTCTTGGAGTAACACAGATATGACATGTACGCAGCCAGTGCTCGATCTCGCTCCTCATGTGTCTCAAGCGGCACCCCGTGCTGGCGCACATCTTTCAGCAACATGTGCACCCACTTCGCATAGATCCTGTTGGTGCTGTCGGTGACCTTGCGTACCAGCAAGTTGCTCACCAGCAGCTCGAGGTCCTGGAAGGGGTAGCCCCGAGACTTCCCCAGCAATGCAGGGCAATGACGAACAGAAAACATGTCGATATAGGTTTTAGATAGGTTCCAAAGTAGGTTCGGGAGATAGGTTCGCAAGCATAGTAGGTTCCAGGAAGAAGATCAACGCGCGGGGAAAACGTGTCATCGGGCAGATAGCCTCCCGTTACTGGGTTTGCCAAAGCGCGTCGGCGCAAATGCAGCGGGCAGCTAAGTTGGCGAAGCGAATTCGCCAAACTAGCCCTGGCGAGTGCACCCGGGGACGTTCCCTGGCCGCGGTTACCTCGCCAAGAAGGTTTGCAATGGAAAGGGCGTCAGGGCTGCATTTCAGGCAGGGGCCGCGACGCTTTTCGCGCGATGCACCCTCGGGCACTAAACATAGAAAATTAACGAGAGCGGCTGCGGAGAAGACCTCCGCCAACACGACCCGCCAGAAAAGCAGTCGCGACGATGGGTGACCCAAAAATCAATTGGGACAGCCCCAGCAACTGGCGCGGCGAACAACGCAATTCAAGGAATCCTGGACAAGCCGGGCCGCCACCGACAATCACCACCCCAGCAAAACCCCCATGCCGATACCGTGTCCCGGCGGGGTTCGGACACGCCATGGCTCCCCCTCATTATCACGGCCGCCCCGCCCAAGGTCATTCTGCCCTCCCCAAAGCCACTCGTCATCAATCACATCATGCTTCCCATCATTGCCCCCCTTGCCTCACCATCCTCTCCCTCATCAGCCGCAGCATCCATGTTCTCATCCTCCTGCCCCCGATCCTCCCCGCCCTCCCCGCCCCCCCCTCCTCCTCCTCCTCCTCCTCCTACTACTCCTCCTCCCCCTCATATTCCCTTTCTTGTTCCTACCTTTTCTCCCTCGTTCTCCCTTCATCCGCCCCTCATCCTCCACCCGATCCTCCGGATCCTCTTGGTCCTACTCCTCCTACTCCTCTCTCCTGTTCCTCCTTTCTCCTGGCCCTCCGTTTCCTCGACCTGGCTCTCCTCCTCCTCCTCCTCTTCTTCCTCCTCCACATCCTCCTCCCGGCTCTCCTCATCCACCTCCTCCTCCTCCTCCTCTCCCATTCCTCTTCCTCCTCCTCCTTCCTCCCCCACATTCTCCTCCACCTCCTCCTCCTCCTACCTTCAATCCCTGACCTTCCATGCTTCCGAAAACAGTTTGAAGTAGGTTTGAAATAGGTTTGAAGTAGGTTTGAAGTAGGTTCGAAGTAGGTTTGAAGTAGGTTTGAAGTAGGTTTGAAGTAGGTTTGAAGTAGGTTTGAAGTAGGTTTGAAGTAGGTTTGAAACCTACTTTGAGGCCTCCGAAACCTACTTTGAGGCCCTAAAACCTATTTTGAAGCCTCCGAAACCTACTTTGCGCTACCGAAAACCTACTTTTGGAATCCGGAAACCTTCTTTGGAACCTACTTTGCAAAAACAAATTCTGCAAACCTACTTTCCGACCTACTTTGGGGGCGCGGTTCCTTGAAACATCAGCACACGCTTGCCCGAGCCTTTCCCAGAAGTCGCCCCCGGGGGCGGCGCGCCAAAAAAGGAATCTGCGAAGTACCCCCAGAAGGTGAGCAAACCCAAAACACTTGTAGGTTGCCCCCGACAGGCGGGAGCCCCCCAAAGGGGGCGGTCTCCCCCCCCCCCCGAGGGTCGAGGATCGAGCGCGATTTCGCTGTCGGGCGACAAGCGAACGTACCGCGACAGGACAGGGCCTTTTGGCAGCCCCCCCGCTGGCGGGCAGGGGGCCGCCGCCTGGCGCCCTAGGTTCTTCAGAAACCAAACCCGATGCGGCCGCCCCCCGCCCCCCGGGGCCCCTCCGGGCCCGGCCCGACGGAGGCGCCACTCCCCTTCCGTTTCTTTTTCCTCCTCCCACCTCTCTCCACCTCCTCTCCTCTTTCACGCGCCCTCATTATTCCAGCCTCCCTCCACCTCCTCCCCCCGGAAACGCCACCTCCCCCCTACCCGCCTTCTGGAGCCCCCCACCCTCCCGTTTCTGACCTTCTTAACCTTCCTGGTCCTCCCTCTCGCCCCCCCCCCTCCCCCTTGCTCGGGCCCGCGGCCCTCGCCCCGCCCTCCGTGCCCCACTTCCCGCTGTGGTCAGGGGGAAACGCAATGCCCCCAGATCTCAGGGCGGAGGTGGTTTAGAGCGCTTCCTGTTCCAACAACCCCCAGCCTTCTCTTCGGGGATGGATGCGCCCCTCCCCCCCCCTCCTTCCGGGGCCTGCTATGGGGGGCGGCGGGTCGCTGGAGCGCCCGAGACGGTCAAAGATAGAGCCGGCATGACCTCGCAGAATGCAACGCGGTCTCACAAATGGTTCAAGATAGCCCAAGATGGATCAACATTGTTTCCCGCATGCTCCAAGAAACCCAAATACCGCTCCGAGACCGCCCCAAGCGGCCGCGGAGCCACCCAATAACACCCCCGAGAAGCCGAAATCTTTCCAAATCGTACGAGACACGAATGAATTGGGCCTTTTGGTCCATGCGCTTCCGAAGACTTTGGAAGCCTGAAGATAAGCCCCGAAGGAGTCCAGAAGAACCCAAGACAGCGCACTTCACGAATTACTCGGCTGGCTTGCTAGCAGAAGCCGCGCCTTGCCGGCGGCATTCCAGCATTTCCCCGAGAAGCTTGTTTGGAAAATATCATTACTGACCCGATCCCGACAAGTTACTTTGGATATTGTGTTCCCGACAACCTTCCCTGGAAAGCTACCTTTGCACATGCATGTCGCATTCCCTTCCCCTGAAAGTTTCTCGCGGCAATCGGTATCGCCATCCTTTCCCTTCGAGTTACCTGCGCCGACCACTGTTGCCAGGCGCGCTGCAGACCTACTTCGCCGACCTACTTCAGGAGCTACTCTAAACCTACTTCATTTGTTTTGCGCCTCAAACAAGCCCTGCATTCAAAGGTAAGTCTCGGGGGTAGTCACTGCGGCGGCCCCAGGCACGTGGCCCCCTCTTGCGCAAGGGCACGAAGGAGGACGCAGGCTTGGGCAATTCGAACTGTCGTTCTTCACCTGCCGGCTCCGCGCTCAGGGGATCCGCCTTGCGTCCGGCCTCCACCTTCAGCACCGTCGTGAGCATCGCAATCCAGACTACCAGTGGTGGCCTGTTCGCTGGCAGTGCCCTGGAAGTCTCTGGAGTCGTGCCTTCACCGCACGCGGCAATCCGCGCGCCTGGGCCTTCCCCTTCTTGATCGTGTCCAGGTCGGGCCCCAGCGCTGCTCCACGTGAGGGGCCGTCCGCCACGTTCCGCTCGGAGCTGACCCGGCGGAACTTGGGGCGGATCCCTAGCACCAACTGGATGATCCCACTCACTCTTGCCTGCCGCAACAGTGGCCAGGACGACGAGCGCCCCTTGCTCAGGCAGCCCATCGTCACCAGGCTGTCGGTGACCACGACGACTTTCTGGTGCCAGTTCCTCCGACAACGCGCCAGACGCCGCAACATCATCACCACCGTCCTGCACCCCAGTACGTTCTGGTGCTCCTCGCGATCCCAAGTGCCCGAGACCACCAGGTGCCAGCGATCCACGCGCGCCACTGAGTCGGGCACGTCCTCGGCCAGCGCCAGCCCTCTCGCTCCTAGCAGCAGGGGCCTCTCGGCCCTCAGCACTGCCCCTGGTCGGGCCATCAGCGGCGCTCGGGGCGCCACCAACCTCGCATACTCCTCGCACAGCTCGTCGGTGTAAGGGCGCGCCACCTTGGTCCAGCGCCACCCCACCTTGTCCGCATACTCTGGAATGCCTTTCGGCACGCCTCCCCTCAGAGACCGATGAGGCTGCCCAGTGCGCGAACAGCAACTCGCACGTCCATGGCATCGCCGACCGAGCCTCCTCAACTCCGCAACGTTGGTGAGGACCCTGGTCGGCTCCCTCCACTCGGTCCCGAACATGCAGAAGTCCAGGTAGATCAGGTGGGCGCCCTCCGACTCCATTACGTTCCTCAGCGGCGGGAACAGCCAGCACATCGACGCGGCGGGGTTCTCCATGCTGAACCCCCACGTTCCGCTTGATGCACTCCAGCATCACCTCCACCGCTATCATCATCAAGTAGGTGCCGTTGTCCGCCTGCTCCCGCTCGGCCTCGCAGAGACCCGAGAGGCCCCAGATCTCCGTCGCGCTCCGCAGCTTGGGCACGCGCGCCCGCGACCACGTGGCGCAGGGCGGGGCCAGATGCACAAGCCAATCGACGCCCCTGGCCAGGTCGACGAAGAGCCTCCCCAGGTTCGCCAAGTCCCCAGGTCGTAGCGGGCCCCCTGCTCGATCTCCCAGGGCTCTAACCAGCTCAGGCGAGCTCGCCCGGTGGCCCCCGACAGACGAGCTGAACCAGCGAACAGCTCGCAAAAGCCAGGGGCCCCATCTCGAGCATCGCGCGCGTGCTTCTCCCTCGCCTGATGCTGCCAGGTCGGGGTGACGTGGTCGAGCTCGTCCTCCTCTACCCCCGAGTAGGCCTCGTGAAGCTGCGTCGACCATCCCTGCTCGTCGCCTGCCTCGCAGAGGGCCCTCATCTCGTTCACGTCCGAGCGGCTCGCCACGATGCCGAAACCCAGGTGGCTCGCGTCCGTCATGAAGATCCACTCGTGCCACTCGGACCCCAGGAAGGTCCCGTAGTAGACCGACAAGGAGACCATGACAAAGAACTCGTCGAGGACCTCGCCCAACAAGGGGGCCTCCTGCTCGCCTCGGTACTCCTGGATCCACCTGTAAACATTGTGAGGCACACTCATGGCCCCTCTCGTACAAGTGAAGATCCACGCCCAGACACCCATCAGCGACTCGACCGCCGTGGGGACGGCCCGGTCCTGCTTCAGCAGCGCCTCCGTAGTCAGCACCGCCACGCGGATCTTCTCCTCCACCACCTGCAAGACCTTGCTGTCCGCGTCCAGGGTGACCCCCAGCGAGCGCTCGAGGCCCCGCCCGACGTCCTCCTTGTGAGCTGACAGCCCGACCGCCTCCAGGGCCAGCCTGGCCCTCGCTCCGTCCTTCTTCACCTGAAGCTCCTCCACCGCGACGTCCTTGGGCTCGAGACGGAACCCTGCGTAGTCGTCGATGAAGATCCAGTGCAAGAGCGACTCGCGATAGAACTGGGGAGGGGGAACGCCATGCTGCACCCTCCCTGCCACGCTCAGCCCGCCTTCGCCCTCCATCACGTCCTGCAGGGCCGAGTGGGCAAAGAAGACCGCCCACGCGAAGCCCATGGGCAGCGCCCGCAAACAAACTCGAACTCCACCTCCGAGTTGCTCGACTCGGCCCTGCCGCCCTCGCTTCGGCAGATGCGCCCGCAACTCCTCTCCAGACACGCCCTCGAACCCGAAGTAGCCCCACAAACCCTCCGGCAAGAGCAGATTGTTGAAGAAGTCCGGCACATCCCCGACGAAGCTGGTCACCTCCAGGCCCCCACGCACACTCGAACTCAAGTCGACCCCGCAGAGGGCCGCGGCCGAGCCCATGGCGACCCAGGGCGGACTCCGGAACCTCATGTTGGACCTCCTCATGTCCCAAATCAGCCTCGAGCTCCGCTGCCCCGTCTTCTCGTCGATCTTCTTCAGGACTGTGAAAACCTTTACCTCCTCCACCACCTCGTCGCACATCCCGAGCATGCCCGACTCGGCCAGCCTCTCCAGCAGCTCCAGCTTCACCTGCTTCTGCTTCAGGCTGGGGTCGCTGCGCGGCTTGATCACGTCGCAAGCCGCCCAGTCTACCTCGTGGTCGCCGAGCACCATCGTCCTTATCGGCTCCCTTGGGCACGGGCGACTCGACGGCGACATGGTCTCGATCGGGATCGGCACTGACCCCGGCGGCGGGAGGGGCACCTCGCTGACCTTCATAGGGCACATGTCGCCACGCTGCGGCCCCGCGGCCGCTCCCTCCTTCTCCTTCGCCTGATACCATCCGACGGCCCGCGACGCCAGCTGCTTTAAAACCGGCGCTCCGTCGGCGAGACTTCCCCACGATGCTCGGGCCCGCCAGCGACTCCAGAGGCCCCGCGCCACCTCCCTCTGAGCGGCCGAGGCCCCCCTCCACGATGAACGAGTCCCTCTCAGAGTCTCGCCCCTCACCCCGTCCAGCACCCCGCGGTGCATGCACGAGATGGCGTTCACCGACCTGTTGACCCTCCTGATCGTCAAGCCGATGTCCGCGCTGGAGCTCTCCTCCTCCAGGTCCTCCCCCACGCAGAAAGGAGCCCGAGGCACTCTGCACAGAGGGTCTCGGATGCGAGCCTCCGCACCTGCGGACCTCCGCGTTGAACCCAGGGTCATCCCGAAGCACACGCTCCCGACGACAAGGGCCACCGACTTCGGCAGGCTGAAAAACTTTGTGTACAGAGCCCACGCCGAAGCCGCAAAAGAGGTCGCTCAGGACCGTCACCAAGATCACGAACTTGAACAGGTACTTGAAGAGCACAAAGCAAAGGCGGCGACGCTCCGCGCTTGCCTGCACCCCTCCCGCCGCTGGAGAGGCAAGCAACCCCTACTCGGAGCTGTCCTTGCCACCGTCGGGGAAGGCCTTGTCAAGGTACTTGTTGAACAAAGCCTTCCGCTCCAAGCGCTTGCGGACCTCCTCGTCGGCGTCTGCGATGGCCCAGCCGTCGCTCTCAAGCGCGACCGCGTCGTACTCGTCTGCGAGCTCCCGCCGCACCTTGCTCTTCCAGCGTTTCCCACCTTCACCACGTGGTTGCTTCCAATCACTCTGCTTCTTGACATATTCGAACGCACGGAAGAGACCGTACAGGCGCCTGCAGATGACCTCGACCGCCTGGCTGTTGACCATGTCCTGGTCGGCGTTCAACATCCTATCCAGGATGGCGGCCATCAGCGCCATCTCGCTTGCAGCATGGCATGACTCCAGCTCCTTCGACCGAACATACTGCTGGACCTGGAACTTGGCGCTCGTCCCGAACTTATACATCCTGGCCAGGACCATGGGAGCGATGCGAGACTGCGACGGCCCGATGCTCCAGTCCGCGGTCTCATACTGCTTCAGCTGGGACAGCATGGCAGTCCGCGGGTCGCGGGCCTCCTGCTCCAGCTCCTGGATGTAGTGGTCGACCGACTTCCCTGGCTGACCCTGCGAGACGAAGTTCTTCACTGCCGAGGCGCTCAGCCCGTCCAGTGATGAGACCACCTTACCTCGCACCGCCCCGCCAGCGCCACCCTGATCATCCGAGACTTGTTTCTCATGCGCCATCAACCTCGCCATCAGCTTGTCGATACCCATCTTGACTGACTCGTCCTCCTGCGCGGCCGTGAACCTCGTGTCACCCTCGTCGCTGCTGTCACTCGTCTTCTTAGCCGAAAGCCTCGCGATCTGGCTCTGAAGCTCCGCCTGTTGTTCCAGAAGCATACGCATGCCAGGGTGCCTCATGAGCCCGTCGTCATCATCGGTGTCCGAGGCGGCCGTGCCGAGGTCAACTAAACCTTCACTGTCAGAGTCGGTGACGAAACCCTCTCCGTTGAAACGCTTCTTCTTCATATCACAACCTCCGAGGGAGTAGACCAGCATGGCGACGAAGGCCACCGCCAGGCCGCCAAGGATCATCGAATCAAAACCTCCCTCTTCCCAGCGCTCAGCAAAATTGTCATAGGTGTCAGTCACCCTCTCAGCAGTCTCTGAAGCCGACCTCAGCGCATTCAGGCTGTCGTCGATCAGCTCCCCAATCCCGAAGAACTTCCAAGCCTTGTAGCTGAGCAAGCACCCCAGGCCGAAGGTCCCAACAAACTTGTAGCTCCACATGGCCCCGCCGACAGTCACCACGGTCTGCGCGAGCCACCGCGCGAAGTTGGACTTGCTAGACCCTTAGCCCTTCGAGGACCTCTTTCCCTTGTGCTTGCTCTTCTCCTTCCGGGGCTTGGTCAAGCTCGTGGGAATCGAAAACCACGAGTCGCCCGCGGTCCTCCTGATCAGCTTTACCGGGTCCGCCTCTGCCTTCTCC